TTAATAAGTAGGGACAACAGAAATGACTGGTCTAATACAATTGAATTTCTTGTATTAGACCGGTCATTTCTGTTGTCCCTACTTATTAATGTTGAATTTCTTGTATTAGACCGGTCATTTCTGTTGTCCCTACTTATTGATGTTGAATTTCTTGTACTAGACTAGTCATTTCTGTTGTCCCTACTTATTGATGTTGAATTTCTTGTACTAGACTAGTCATTTCTATTGTCCCTACTTATTAATGTTGAATTTCTTGTATTAGACCTGTCATTTCTGTTGTCCCTACTTATTAATGTTGAATTTCTTGTATTAGACCAGTCATTTCTGTTGTCCCTACTTATTAATGTTGAATTTCTTGTATTAGACCGGTCATTTCTGATGTCCCTAATAATAATGTTGAATTTCTTTCTGTTGTCCCTACTTATTAATGTTGAATTTCTTGTATTAGACCGGTCATTTCTGTTGTCCCTACTTATTAATGTGACCGGTCTAATACAAGAAATTCAACATTAATAAGTAGGGACAACAGAAATGACCGGTCTAATACAAGAAATTCAACATTAATAAGTAGGGACAACAGAAATGACCTAGTCTAGTAATTAATGTTGAATTTCTTGAAGTAGGGACAACAGAAATGACCGGTCTAATACAAGAAATTCAACATTAACAAGTAGGGACAACAGAAATGACCAGTCTAATACAAGAAATTCAACATTAACAAGTAGGGACAACAGAAATGATTGGTCTAATACAAGAAATTCAACATTAATAAGTAGGGACAACAGAAATGACCGGTCTAATACAAGAAATTCAACATTAATAAGTAGGGACAACGGAAATGACTAGTCTAGTACAAGAAATTCAACATTAATAAGTAGGGACAACAGAAATGACCGGTCTAATACAAGAAATTCAACATCAATAAGTAGGGACAACAGAAATGACTAGTCTATGATGTAATTAGTAAATAGGTATAAAAAAAGGACTGTTATTATTTTTCTAATATTACTAGATATGTTAGTAATTCTAATGTTTTTACTTTTGAGAGACAACGTGACCCAATGTTAATGAGAAGAAATTACAGAAATCCAATGGTATAAATTCATTGTAGTCATTTGATAAACATGATTGCTTTGCTAATCAGATATTTCATTTGTGTTCAGAGCTTAAAAAAGAAACTTTTATTTTTTGTTTTTTATACAAAAAAGTACTCAACTCCATATGCAAGAAATAACTTTATTGTCACTTTATATCCAGAATTCTTCTCAAAACTAGGCATTTAGGACAAGGCCTCTTAAAAAAGCATTACTTATTCAGAAATGCTGCACAATCAGGTTTTCCTGTATATAAAACAAAACTGACCTTATTTTACAAATTATGGTGATGCACTTCATACTAAATACACTTGTTTTACAAACCATCTTGAGTTAATACTGAAAATATGTAAACATATTCAACTTAAGTACCTGAGAAACAAAATAACCTGCAGAAATTCATGTTCACACGTGTTATCTCTTCAGGAATCCTTTATAATTTCTTAGATAGACATTAGTGTATCAGTAGCTTCACTGGCCTGTGATATTTGAAACAACATTAATTTTTCCTTACTGTAGTGACTCTGTGTGAATAAAACAAATTTTCAATTATTTTAATCTTTTGTTACTATCAACAGGGAATTTTAAAAATGCAATTTCCTTTTTAGAAATTAATGTTAAAAGTTAAGTTTTCATGAATAAACAGAGCCTAGTTTTGTAAATTGGAACAGCTGGTGTATGTGCCCTAGAAAGTAGTCATTGAACAAAGTATTTTCTTGGTAGTTAGGCAACCAAAGACTGATTCTGTGACAGCAAGAAAAGCCAATGTTTAAACTGGAAACAACAGAGCAAGAAAAGCCAGTGTTTAGACCAGAAACAACTTGAAAGTTAGAGAATGCAACACTACTCTGGTTGAGTTAGAACATTACTTGAAACAACAGAGCAAGAAAAGCCAGTGTTTAGACTAGAAACAACTTGAAAGTTACAGAATGCAACACTACTCTGGTTGATTTATAACATTAATTTTATAATGTTTTACTCAGATACATCAACCCTTTATGTGATTGGCCTTGGAATTACAGAAAGAAATATAACTTTCCATTCTTTTGTACTTCAATGGTTGGGTATTAACACAGAATCTAACAGTTCATTTCACACTGTGTATAAATTCCTGAGGACATAAAAATCAAAATGCAAGTTTCACAAAATAATAATTATTTTTGATTATCTAGTGAACAATATATATTGACAATAAGAGGGTTTAACAAAGTTCAAATTTCTTAATTATTTCATACCCGCATAAAGTAGAATGATACAAATAACCTGCTTCTTTAGATAAAACAATCCTTTCTATAGTTGTTCTCGCAAGTACTGCTTTAAGGAAAAACAAAAAAATTAAATGCTTTAGAAAAATCAGGTTGGCATTTGCAGATCTTTTAAAACTGACCTTTAAGTAAAGCTTTAGTGTACATTCATTTTGCATTGTAGTCTAAATAGGACAGACCTTATTTATGGGAATGTTTTGAATACATTTTCTTTCACACTTTAAAACTCAATCAATCTTACAAGAGAAGTGGCTATCACAGTTAACCAGGACTAGAAGCCCTGAGGAAATCCTACATTCCCTGAAGGTTGTGGGTTGTTCGCTACTGAACTGAAAGGCATTGTGGGTTGGCTATGTTGTACACCTCCAGCTAAGCCATTTGACTGTGACAAGAAATACAAATTGTAAGAAGAAATATTAAAATTCCAAAATATTTGTAAGACGAAATCAAGGAAATTGAACTATATTGTTACAAGTGCAAAATTTGATTTATATAAACTTTACTGGGAAAAATAAGAACAATAAAAGACACATTATTTTTAAGACAAATAATAGTTATGTTACTGTTAAGAAAAATATTAAAATCATAACTATAACATTTGAATGAGAAATATTAAAATTATACACTATATAATTTGTATGAGAAATATCAAAGTTACTCACTATGTTATCGTTATGAGAAACGTTGAAATTATCAGGCAGGTGGTAGCACTGCCTATGTAGGGATGGCTTGGATTGTTCATTGAAAAGATATTTTGAATATTTCCTAAATAGGTCATCAGAACTTTACAATACTATACAGTGTTTCCTTTTATAACTATATCTATGTAATGACTGAGTCACAAGTTCTGCAAATGTCTGTAAATATCATAGCAAAAAGTTTGAATATTACACCATGCTATTGTTACAAGAAATGTTAAGTTATACCACATGCTTAAAAATTTCCATCTTAGAATCCAAACACAATTAAATGTTTTGAGAAAAGAAATGTATCCTACATTCCAAAAACAATGAGCCATTTTGACAAAGAACTTGTGTCCTAAAACTGAAAAGTAATCAGTTGTTTTGAAAGAAAACTTTTATCCAAGAATTCAAAAGTATTCAGTATTTTTGATAAAAATTTTGTATCCTAGAATCCAAAAATAATCAACTGTGCTTTACAAAAATTGTCAAGTTTATTTTGTATAAAAGTTAAGATTAGTTTGTTTAAATTGTTTTTTAAATCTTAAATTAAAAAAAATGAAGAAGATGGAGAGAAATATGTATCCCATAATTTCTTTGGTTAGAGTTTGAAAATGTTATAAACTATTGATTTTTCAGTCAGGAAGTTTTACTGCTGTCCAACAAGGTGATGTTCAAAACAACAAATCTTATGTGATCATTGCACCATACATTTTTGTACAACACTCATGAATAAAGAAACACAAATTCCCACTTTTTAGTAGTACTTGGAAGTTAATATTTTCCTTTACTGAAGATGTATTTCAAATAGGTACTTACCTCCTCTCACAAAATAGCTTTTTTCGATTAGTACTGCTCTCTATCAGTGCAAATTTTCAATGCTCTCCACTAGCCTTCCACCTCTCGTTTCTGCATATCCATATGCAAGTGATCATGCAGTAGCTCTCCACCAATAGGAGCGAGACACAACTCCCATTGTAATAAGCACCCTCTTTACATTTACACTCATTAATCATTTTGAGATTAGTCAGAAGACCTACACCATATATCACTAGAAGTGAGGAGGCTGGGTAAGAAATGTGAAAGGAGGTAAGTATCTACTGGAAATACATTTTCAGTGTAAGGAAATGCTAACTTCCAACACAATATCTTACCTCCACTTACAAAATAGCTAGAATTCCAAACTGAACTGGTGGAGGGATGGTAAAAAAATGATACCCAAGGAGAGACCAGGAGGTGTGGAACTAAAAGAGAAAACATCACACTCCAGTGAGAGGCCGCACCACATCTGATCCAGGTATACCCTTTGCTCTTTCATGACTGTGTTGCAAACATTAATGGTAGAAAAACATGAAGGAGTCCCAGAATATGTATGATCAATTAATGGAACCCCTGGATGTTGAGTGGCTATGGCATGCCAGACCGTTGTGGTAGTTTGACATAATCCAAAACCAGATGGTATCTGTAATAGTACATGAGATCTGCAATAGGTAGAGGATCACCTACCTCTTCTCCTCGAAATGGGAATTGGAAAAGAAGATGAGCTTCCATACCAAAATCCATCTCCACTTATGCACATTTCAAATACAACCAACACCAAATCTGCTGGGAGTCAACATCCAGTCGAAAGCCCTGGCTAGATGAGATCTCCAGTCCAAAACCTGGTACATTAGGTATGGTACTTCCAGTCCTCAGTAGGAAAACATGTGCTGCATCTAGATACAACCAACACCAAATCTGCTGGGAGTCAACATCCAGTCGAAAGCCCTGGCTAGATGAGATCTCCAGTCCAAAACCTGGTACATTGGGTATGGTACTTCCAGTCCTCAGTAGGAAAACATGTGCTGCATCCAGATACAACCAACATTAGATTCCCTGGGAACTGATAACCAGCAAACCGTAGGAAGAGGGACCACAAACCTGTGGTGCATCTGTGGTCCAAAACCTGGCAGCAGTGGTCATTTGTCATCCAGACCCTAGTGAATATGCATGTTGATCCAGAGTAATTAACCAACTATTTCTGGCCCACCTCAGAACCCAAATTGCTATGCTTACACAAAACCTAAAAACGTGAAGAACTGGCAGCTGTTAAAGAACTCTCCCATGAAGGAAATGGCGTTGCTATCATCAACAAAGCTGACTATGTTAAAAAATGCTTGACATTCTTAAGGATCGCAGTAAGCACAAACTTATAAACAAAGAACTATTATCCCATACTTTACAACTTGAAGAAAAAAAAATCAAAGGATTCCTGAGAAACCTACAAAAAAATATTATTTCAAAACCTGGATTATTATATGGCCTTCCAAAAGTTTACACACTCCACTTCAACCCATACTGGGCACTCGTAGTTATAACTCACTCCACTTCAAACCCATACTGGGCACTCATAGTTATAACTCACTCCACTCCAACCCATACTGGGCACTCATAGTTATAACTCACTCCACTCCAACCCATACTGGGCGCTCATAGTTATAACTCACTCCACTCCAACCCATACTGGGCACTCATAGTTATAATTCAGCAAAAGTTAAAATTATTTTACATCAAAAATGTATTTCCAATAATACTTACCTCTCCTCACACTACAACTATTACTCAACTACCTGGATTTCCTTCCTTTGCCCATCTAAACATTGGTTTGAATTTTTCTTGCATGCTCCAGTTGTTTATTCCACATTTAATTACCCTTGTGATATCTGTCACGTGATGCTCTCCACCTACGTCAATGCACCCTCTATCCTGGTATTGTATATAAGCACCTTATACAGACAATATTATTACTTTTTTGAGACTGACCCATTCTGCAGTCTCTAACACTGGCTGTTAATGGGGAGGAAGGGTGGGAGAGTGTGAAAGGAGGTGAGTATTATTGGAAATACATTTTCGATTTAAGAAAATGTTAATTTCCAAAACATATTTACCTCCTCTCACACTACAGCTAAAATCCCACATTGATAACGTGGAGAGGCCGGTGAGGCCATATCCATACAAAAGCCATCTGTATAGATCATGGACATGCCAACAGAAGATTGGCACCCTAGTGGGGGAACTGCACTACATCCAGAACAGGTATGCCCTTCATCCAGGAACCCAATTCTTGTTTGGCCAGGCCCCAACCAGATAGCCAAGGTTCCACTGCTCAGGTTTGGAACTATAGGGCCATGGCCCCTATATTCCACGTTAGTGGCTAGGCCAACTTTACCACAATATATATATATATATATACTTTTGAGTGGATTCCAATCTGTAGCCATAGAGTGATGCGTTCTGAGCCACCAGAATCACGATGAGAAGGTAAACAACACCGAAGTGGACAAACTTTCTCCTCAACCTGAAAAAGCCCAAAAGGCAACATCCCAAATGACAGGATCCTGTATGCCATACTCAACCTGAGGAAACAAAACTCATCTGGTCTGGAATTATGAACACCTATCTTCACTCCCCAACTGTGTGGGCAAGGTAAATTATTCTTGTCTCTGGAATTATGGGAAGAATGTGGAACAAATTGTGCTCAACCAAGGACCTGGGATGGGACCACTCTGCATTCAGAATTATGAGGAGACAATGGACCCTCTTCCAGGAACAATGTACTGAACTGATATTGATCAAAAAGAAGGACCATATTTGATCCAACCAGATAACCTAATGTCAAATATGAACCAGTATTACCAGTAGTGTTCCACATAGGCTGGTATTTCTCCTATCGACATCTGGGAAAAACATCCAGGGACCCAGGTAGAAAGCCCCCAACTTTGCCCTCTTCTCGAGAATGGAGGAATTCACTTAAACACTCTTGAGGAAGAACCTCTATCCACCACCTGTAACTGGAAACTTGGGGGGATAATGTGCACTGGGGAGCCCTGAGGAACAGTGCTGTGGAAACAGTGCAATAGGTGAACCATGTTCCCTAGACTTTTAAAAACAAACCAATCCCAATTTATTCAATCTAATGATCAACAGTGATGGATGGAATCCCCTCATGCTTTGCTCATGATAGTCCATGAGTGGGAGTCCAGCATAGTACAGTAATACTAACTGGTCAGCCTCTAGGTGGTCTTCTGGAACATCATATTCCTACAGAGCGTGTTGCAACCTAGATAGAGTATACTGAATTAGTGCTAGCTAGTGCAGAATTGGTTTGATAAAAGCACACCTGCAAGGGCAACACTCACCACAGAGTGGCGTCCTTTAAAAATGAGGTAAGAGACCTTGCAGGTAAAGAAGAGACAAGTGTAGCAATGAAAATATTCACCCCTCTGTATAATGTAGCAGATGTGGTTAAGATATTTACAGGGGTTAGTTGAAAATCCTCATATGAAGATACTGCCAGATCATGCAAATAATGTGAGATAAAAATATTGGGAGAGGTCCACATACTAGCCCGAACAATGTCCTCCAGCAGGCAATTCAAACAGATCACTAAGTGCATAGAAATGTGACGAATCTGATGTGAAGAATAAGTGATATGGATCAATTTCATACTCACCTTATCAATGTAACCTAGAAAGATGTGACTTATCCCGGTTAACTACAGACTCTGCTCTGGAATCCAAAATTTCCAGGAGCAGATGTATTCTTCAAGAGTTCGAATATGCTTTTACCTGGAGGAGGTAGGCTAAATCACATAGTTCTGACAACCGTGGTAGACAAGGCATAGCTGTCCTTCAGGTAACTGAGCAGTAAACCTCCCTGCTTGAACCACAATATCAGTATATCTAGGGAGAACTAAGTGTTTGTTCCCAGATCTTTCATCCAATTAAGGAAGATGCAGACTTAAAATCAACTGGTGAAAGACCCAAAACATAACATACTTGATGGACCAACTGAAGAAAAGGAGCCTGAGGCAACTGATCCCAAAGTGGCCTCCTGAGAAGCTGAAAAAATAAAGAAAGGCACAGAAAAAAGTGGATCTAAACTCTCTCCAAAACGTCCAGGATTGCCCTCACTTGCAGCCTCAGAGCCCTCTGGAGGAACACCACTGAAATGACTACATGTCTCCATCTCACTAAGAAAAAGATCACTGACAGTCTCAACTGAGGTGGGATAGGAGAGACCTGATTTGTCTCCGTGCCAGAAATA